TATATATATATATATATATATATATATATATATTAGTTATAGTCAAAATTATTTTAATGATTTTTTTCTTTAAAATATTTCCCAAATGACGATTAACAGTAAATTTTCACAATATGTCAGATAATATTTTTTTTATTTTAGAGAAAGTCTTATTTGTTTTATTTTGGCTAGAATAAAAGCAGTTTTAATAAAAAATAAAAAAAAAACATTTTAAGGTCAAAACTATTAGCCCCTTTTAAGCAATTTTCTTTTAAGCAATTTAACCTGCCTAGTTAACTTAATTAACCTAGTTAAGCCTTTAAATGTCACTTTAAGCTGTATAGAAGTCTTGAAAAATATCTAGTAAAATATTATTTACTGTCGTTATGGCAAAGATAAAATAAATCCGCTATTAGAAATGAGTTATTAAAACTATTATGTTTAGAAATGTGTTGAAAAAATCTGCTCTCCTTTAAACAGAAATTCGGGAAGAAAATAAACCTGGGGCTAATCATTCAAAGTGGTTTCATTAATTCTGACTTCAACTATATATATTACAATTAGATTTTTTAAGATTTCAGTATTATTTAACACATCTTGTAAATAAAAGATTTTTTGAAACCTTGCGTAATGGTATAATTAATAAAATCTCAAAAAGGGATCTTTCTCATTGTAGTGTTTTTATCTGAACTATAAACCTTTAACGAGGTACTGTGATAATTTGACTTTGAAAAAAAATTGAAATAAGGGCTTAAAAAAACACATTTCTTTTTCATGTCTCACTATCTCCATCTTCAAATCTCTTATCTTTTCTGATATGATCACATATCACTATCTTGTATTTTGCTTCTTTTAGTAACAGCTTTATCTCACTGTTTTATAGGTGTGCTGTCAGAAGAGCAGATTCGACTAAAGAAGATGAAGAAACAGGAAGAAGAGACAGCTCGTACCTCTACAGTGGCGACACCGAGCCCTGCACCTGAGATGCCTCCGCTGGCTCCTGAACAGCAGGAGATGATCGAAAAGTTGGTGGCCATGCAGAAACAGTGCAACAAACGCTCTTTCATTGATCGGCCCAAAGTCACTGTAAGTGCATTCATTTGTGCTTCAAATTTCCAAACCGACTAAAATAATTTAACTATAATCTGACTGTAAATGTGCAACTGAAAAAATGTGACTGTAGCTTGACATTATTTGTACACCCCATATTGATTACAATTGCATTCTTCCCTTGCTTATGAAGACATTAAACGGTTATTTTTTAATCATTTCATTTTTTCCATGTCATTATAAATCCATGAGTCGATCTTACCTTAATTAAACTCTTCTTGGAGTCACAGTCATTTAATTGTAGGGTTTTATTTATAGTGATTGATTAAAGCATATTAAATATGGTTAAAGTCTTTGTGAATCAACCGTTGCTGAGACGTTTATGTTGCATGTTAACAATGAGTGCTAGCAAAATAAACATTGTAAAATTTGATTTCACACTGACTTTAATGGCTGTCATTCCAGCACTTTAAAATAACTGAAGGTTATTCATTTAAATGTTTTGGGTTATCCTTTTAATCCTCTGAATATTTAACAAAACAGTATGCCAAGTGGAGCAATTTTCTCCAATCCTCTGATGCATTGTTTCTAAAAATTTACATGAAGACGTGTTGTTTTTTCAGCCATGGCCACAGAGTCAGGACCCACAAAACCGAGAGGTTCGACAGCAGCGCTTTGCTCATTTCACAGAGCTGGCCATCATGTCAGTACAGGAGATTGTAGATTTTGCTAAACAGCTGCCCGGCTTCCTGGAGCTCACCCGAGAAGACCAGATCGCCCTACTCAAGACCTCAACCATAGAGGTTAGACCCGACTGACCCATAACACACATTGTTTTCTGTCAGTTCTGTTGCTGTTGTGGTGCACACAGATGGAGCACTGTTGTTTGGCAGCCAGATTTCGACTGTTATTTCATAACAGGAAGTACTTCAGAAAAAAAATTGCCATCTGGTGACGAATGTCATTTCTCATGAAAAACCAAGCAGAGCCTGTACTGCTTGTTTTACAAACCTGTTCGACTTTTGTCTTGCAGATCATGCTGCTAGAGACTTCCAGACGTTATAACCCAGCGATTGACAGCATCACCTTTCTTAAAGACTTCACTTACAATAAAGAAGATTTTGCGAAAGCAGGTACTGTATGAATGATGTAGTTCAGTCATGACACTTTAGATCAATGGTCTCAAACTCAATTCCTGGAGGGCCGCAGCTCTGCATAGTTTAGCTCCAACCACGTCCAACTCACACCTGCTTAATAGTCTTTTGTAGTCTTGAACACCTTGATTAGTTGGATCAGCTGTGTTTGATTAGGGTTGGAGTAAAACTGTGTAGAGCTGCGGCCCTCCAGGAATCGAGCTTGAGACTTATGCTCAAGATGGTGCAGCTTAATATGTGTATGCAGTGTTTCGTCTAGGATTTTTTCCAGTTGTGACGGCAGTCCTTTTTTTACACAGATCTACCAAATACCTGTGGCGTTATTTCAATGACAAATGTCGTGAGCGCAGTATTAGATGTCGAGATCGCATTTATGTATTAACCTACATGTACGAGCATGTGAATCTCTGCTTGCGCGCTGATTTTCTTTGCTCGTGCACAAAACTTCTTGCAAACGCTGCTGAGTGCGATTTGGTGTATTTATGTAACAAGTACGTCTCCAGCATTTATTAGATTTGCTAGGAATGGTTATAAATGTCTCTAATAGACCCAGAGAGTAGCATTAATGCTTCCTGAAGTAAAGTGAAATAGCTATACGTTGTGTTTGCTGGCCTCACGCATCACTCACCTGTCAGTCAGCACGTCACCTTAAAGGGTTAAACAAATAATGCACAGCACCTACTACGGTTACAGAAAAGTTTGCGCTGTTATAATTCACTTACCCTTTAATACGTTTTGGTGCGATTATCACCCGCTATTAAAAAAAAAAATGTTTTGAATCAGAAGCTGGAATGTAGCTGTGGCGGGATGAATTTTGTCGTCGCGCCCCGCCATGAGAGAAGGAATGTAGCGGAAACCATGGTATGCATGAAAACCTTCCACCTCCCCAGCTTCACCTGCCAAGATCTGTGACAAAGTTCGTCTATGTGTGTGAAGCGGACAAATGTGCATCTATATATACATATCTTTGCTTGCTGCTGCAAATGAATACAGAAATGTGTAGTTATTTGCAGCAGTAAGAAAAGATATGTATATATATAGATGCCACATTTGTCCACTTCAAACAAGAAGGGTGCATCTCAATCAGCACTCTTGTTCAGTGGTCAGTGCACTGATCAGGTCGCCACCATTTTAACTGTTGTCTCGATGGCCAAATTCTTGTTCACACCATGAAAAGTCCTGCAATGCACCGTGATAATCAAGGGGCTTTGATTTGCACTATTCGGCCTTAATGGCATTCTTCCAACATAATGACAAATGAGAAATGCCATTTTTTTTTTCTAAAAAAGAATTTGTCATTTATTTATTTTTAACATGAACAAACAAGGCTAGATAGGTTAGGAAAAACATAGCAAACATTCATAGCTGTTTAATGGTTGAAATATTGCTATTATATGAAAGAGTTGCTGTTAATTAGGGTGACATGGTGGCGCAGTGGGTAGCACAATCGCCTCACAGCTAGAAGGTCGCTGGTTCGAGCCCTGGCTGGGTCAGTTGGCATTTCTACATGGAGTTTGCATGTTCTCCTTGTGTTGCCGTGGGTTTCCTCTGGGTGCTCCGGTTTTCCCCACAGTTTAAAGACATGCATTATAGGTGAATTTAATAAACTAAATAGGTTGTAGTAAGTGTGTATGGATGTTTTCCAGTACTGGGTTGCAGCATAGAAGGCATCTGCTGTGTAAAACATATGCTGGATAAGCTGGCGGTTCATTCCACTGTGTCGACCCCTGATTAATAAAGGGTCTGAGCCGAAGGAAAATTTATGAACAGTTATAAGCTATATTAAAAAATTTCAAGGCTAAATACAATTTATATATAAAAATGATTAGTTCTGCTGTCCATTTAGATGATGTACAATGAGGATGTCCTCATGTCACACTCAGTGTGTCCCAATGTATAGTGACCCAAGCTCACTGCACTTACCAGTGCGCAGATTTTTGCACACGGCCTACTTATAAATGACCTTGGGAGCAAGAGTGCTAACTGAGATGCAGCCGGACTCATACGCCCTCTTAGAATATTCAATGTGTAGTCACTCACAGTAAAGATCAACAGGTTTTACATAATGCTACAAAATTGTGTGACCTGGTTGAAAACACTTGCATAACCTTTTACATTTGAGAATCTGAAAATGTACTCACTCCTGTCTCTCATGTGGCTTCAACCCTTTAAGTTTTTCTGAACTTCTTGACATTGGAAAAAGCAAATGACATCCATTTAGTTATTAGTATCTTGCTTGTTATTTTAAATGATAAATAAAATATAATTGGATTAAATAAAAACACTATATAAAAAGCAACTATATTTTAGCTGTTAAAAACATTTCCTTATAACCTGAAATGAGATCTTCCATAACTGTGGTTTTATTTGTGTGGTTTTATTTGAGAGCTGTTTTTGTTGTTTGTGTACCGAAATGATCTCTGTCCTGTCTGGTTTGTCCGCAGGGCTGCAGTTAGAGTTCATCAACCCCATCTTTGAGTTTTCAAAAGGCATGAATGACCTCCATCTGGACGAGGCAGAGTATGCTTTGCTCATCGCTATCAACATCTTCTCAGCAGGTCAGTTTGACACGCAAACACCAATGTTATATTGTTTGTCTTCTGGTAAGTCCGAACAGCCATTTAAAGGCACAGATCACACAAAATTGAAAATTAATTTTAAACCATTATGAATTTCTCTCTACTAATATTGTTTATATAAATTCTGACTTTAAGCTTTTGTTAAAATGTGAATAAAAGCTGAGAAGTATTTTTTCTTGTACTTTGTCTTAGTATCTTTTATGAGAAACCTGTTCCATTTCTGATTAAATAAATAAATAAATACTTGCTGGTTAAATAAAAGTAACTTTAAGTCAAAGGTTTGAATGATTTCGGGTTTGACTGCATAAATAGTGGTAGTATGTTAATAGGACCAGTGTATATTAAGCTGTTTGTATCTTTTTACATCCTGTAGGTGGCACTAATAATTTCACTATTGCACTATTCATTCATTTGTTCATTTTTTTGTTGGCTTAGTCCCTTTATTAATCCGAAGTCGCCACAGCGGAATGAATCGCCAACTTATACCGCATGTTTTTACGCAGCAGATGCCCTTCTAGCGGCAACCCATCTCTGGGAAACATACACACACACACACACACGCACACACACGCATTCACTACTGACATTTTAGCCTACCCAATTCACCTGTAACCATTGCACTAGCAACATATAATTAAATACAAAAACATATATTACAAGCAGTGTCGTTTAATAGTGTTTATACACTCACTGGCTACTTAATTAGTTACACCTTACTAGTACCAGGTTGGACCCCCTTTTGCCTTCAGAACAGCGTGACAGATTCATCAAGGTGCTGGAAATGTTCCTCGGAGATTTTAGTCCATATTGACATGATGGCATCACGCATTTGCTGCAGATTTGTCGGATTCACGTCCATGATGTGAATCTCCTGTTTCACCACATCCCAAAAGTGCTCTATTGAATTGAGATCAGGTGAGTGTGGAGGCCATTTGTGTACAGTGAACTCATTGTCATGTTCAAGAAACCACCGTGTGATGATTCACCCTTAATGACATGGCACGTTATTCTGCTAGAAGTAGCCATCAGAAGATGGGTACACTGTGGTCATAAAGGGGTGGACATGGCCCAAAGTGTGCCAAGAAAAGATCCCCCACACCATTACACCACCACCAGCAGCCTGAACCATTGATACAAGGCATGATGGATACATGCTTTCATGTAGTTGATGCCAAATTCTGACCCTACCATCTGAATGTTGCAGCGGAAATCGAGACTCATCCGACCAGGAAACGTTTTTCCAATTTTCGATTGTCCATTTTTGGTGAACCTGTGTGAATTGTAGCCTCAGTTTTAGTGTTCTTGGCTGACAGGAGTGGCACTTGGTGTGGTCTTCTGCTGCTGTAGCCCATCTGCCTCAAGGTTAAACATGTTGTGCGTTCAGAGATGCTCTTCTGCATACCTCAGTTGTAACGAGTGCTTATTTGAGTTACTGTTGACTTTCTATCAGCTGGAACCAGTCTGGCCATTCTCCTCTGACCTCTGGCATCGACAAGGCATTTACACCCAAAGAAGTGCCGCTCACTGGATATTTTTTCTTTTTCCGACCATTCTCTATAAACCCTAGAGATGCTTGTACGTGAAAATCCCAGTACATCAACAGTTTCTGAAATACTCATGCCACGTTCAAAGTCACTTAAATCACCTTTCTTCCTCATTCTGATGCTCGGTTTGAACTGCAGCAGATTGTCTTGACCATGTCTGCATGCCTAAATGCATTGAGTAGCTGTTATGTCATGAAATGATTAGAAATTTGTGTTAACAAGCAGTTGTACTTAATAAAGTGGCCAGTGAGTGTACATTACTATTAGAGTGATAATATACATTTTACATAAGCTTTATTTTGAAGCTTTTTTTAATTTTATACATTTTTTAGAGTGGCCTGATTTATTTATTTTTTTAAGACTGTTGGAGAAAACAGCCATTGACTTGCATAGTATCTTTTGTTCTTTTGTATGGAAGTTAACGGCTTTTTTCCCATAAAGTCTTCATTATATCTTCCTTTGAAAAGAAGAAAGAAACTCAAACTGATTAGGAAACAAAGGGAGAGAGTAAATTATGTAACTATTTAAATTTTGGTCTCTTTAATTGGCCATATTTCTCTTTTAAAACATAAACCCTATTTTCATGGGTGAAAGAATTTTTGGAGAAATAGTAGTGCAGTGGGTTTTTAATGAGAACAAAACCTCCCAGTATAGAATTGTATTTGCATCCAATATGTTTCTAACAGTTAGGCCTTTGTTTTGTGTCCCAAACAATATGATGCATTGTTGAATAAAGTTTTTTGAATAAAGACAAACATTAGCAACCTTATGAGGCGGAATCCATTTTTAATTACCCATTAGATTTGAGTATATTCCAGTTAGAGATAGGCATCTGGTGTGCTGTTAGTTTATTTTTGAGTTTGCTAATGAGCCATGCTACATCACTTCCCAAAGCACTTCCTCACAAAACTAATGAAATGCAGAATCATTCATTTGCCTCAATCACGCTTTCTATTCTTGTCTCTTGTGTGTTTGTGTGTTGGGGGAGGCAGACCGACCAAACGTGCAGGATCACGAGTTAGTGGAAAGACTACAGCAGCCATATGTGGACGCCCTCCACTCCTACATCAGAATAAAACGACCCAATGTGAGTATGGTTTATGCTGAAAACTGTTGTGCTGCGTAATTTAAGCTCCCCTGTTTATTTTTTCCCTAATTTCTGTTTAAAGGAGAGAAGTTTTTTTCAACACGTTTCTAAACGTGGTTTAACTAGGTTAATTAGGTTAACTAGGCAGGTTAGGGTAATTAGGCAAGTTGTTGTATAATGATGGTTTGTTCTGTAGACTGTCGAAAAATATTTGTCTAAAGGGGCTAATAATTTTGACCTCAAAGTGGTGTTTTAAAAATAAAAACTGCTTTTATTCTAGTCAATATAAAACAAATAAGATTTTCTCCAGAAGAAGAAATATTATCAAACATACTGTGAACTTCCTTGCTCTATCAAACATCATTTGGGCAATATTTCAAAAAGAAAAAAAATCCAAAGTGGGGCTAATATTTTGACTTCAACTGTATATATATATTTGTAACATAAATGTCTGTAATTTGCAATTGAATGCATTTTGATGATTTTTTTACTCTTAATATTCTCTTTTTTATACTTCTACTAATACATAGTAGTAATCTTTAATAGGACAAGTGTATATATAGCTGCTTGTGTCCTTTTACGTCCTGTAGGTGGCACTGATGATTTCACCATTGCACAAGTAATATAATAATACTATTATTATAAGCAGCCTTTATTTAAAAGTGATTACATATTACTTTTATAGCATTTAAAAATATTTTGTATACAAAGGCTTGTATTAAAAGTTTTTTCAAGTTTAAAAAATTTGTAATGTGTTAGTCATCTGTCTGTCTGTCTGTCTGTCTGCCTGTCTGTTACCTACTTACTTACTTGCTTACTTACTAACTAGTATATATGTGTGTGTATACTGTGTATATATATATATTAGGGCTACACAATATATCGTTTTAGCATCGATATCACAATGTGTGTATCCGCAATCGTCACATCACAGAATTATGATATTGTAGTTTAACAGGAACTACAGTTCAAACTATACATGATTTGTTGAGTCATTGCAAATTTTAACCATAAATTGATCAATTAGTTTATCATCTGCATGTGTTTTCATGGCATGTGACTGTGTGAGCCTTTCAAGCCACTTTAAATAATTCAGGCACAAGAACTTATGTTTGCAACTTTAAGAAAGATTCATTTTATTTATGTTCATACATGTTCATACATACATTCATTTATGAAGCTACACCATACAGTGTTCTTTTTTACTGTGATTATTCAGTTTGTGCTGGAATACTGCTTGTGATGAGTTTATTATATTTCATGCAGATGCACTCTTATGAAAACATCTCATTTAATCAAATTTTATGCATTCTTTCCAAATAGAGCTATTATTTTCATCTGCTGAAATTATACTCCATAATCGCAATATGTATCGCAAAAAAATCAGATACCGCATTGTATGTTTTTTTCCAATATTGTGCAGCCCTATGTATAAAGTACATCTGGAAAGTATTCATAGCGCTTCACTTTTTCCACATTTATCTATTTTACAGCCTTATTCCAAATTGGATTAAATGAATTTATTTCCTCAACATTCTACACACAATACCCCATAATGACAATGTAAAAAAAGATTGTTTGAAATTGTTGAAAATTTATTGAAAATAGAAAACCTGAAAAATGTACTTTCGTATTCACGAAAAATGTACATCAGTATTCACAGCCTTTGCTCAATACTTTGTTGATGCATCTTTGGCAGCAATTACAGCCTCAAGTCTTTTTGAATATCATGCCACAGGGAATGCACTGGGAATGTTACTCTCCGGATACACTATATTTATAAACATTTTCTCAAATATATGCATGCAATATGCACAGCACTCGCATATATTATATCAAAACAAACTTTTATTTTGAATTCAATTACCCAGCTGTAATATATAAATATATATATGTATATGTATATATATATATATATATATATATATATATATATATATATATATATATATATATATATATATATATATATATATATATATAATTCTCTTTTTTAAACTAAAACAATAAAATGACTAGAAATAAAATAATTTATTTCAGTTCATTGTACATCCAATCATTATTATTATTTTGTTTATTTTTTATTTTTTTTGGTGTTTACTATGCATTCTAATCACCCTCTACTATATGATCCTCCCTAGGATCATCTGATGTTTCCTCGGATGCTGATGAAGCTGGTCAGCCTACGCACTTTGAGCAGCGTCCACTCAGAGCAAGTGTTTGCTCTGCGCCTCCAAGACAAAAAACTTCCACCTCTACTTTCTGAAATTTGGGATGTTCACGAATGAGCGGGCGATCCGCCAGGACTGAATGAGCCAGTGTCAGGGAAACGTGGGTGGACAAGGGTTCCTCTACCGACAGAGCACAGGGTCACAATGTCCTTCCACTGTCATGAGAAGCCTGCTTTTACCATTCTCTTCCTTGACCTCTAGATTTTTTACCCAGTGGTCAGTGAGAGCTGCTTCCTTTGAACGTGCTATTGATAGACTGTATAGCCAGAAGTAGCTCAGGGACCGATCAGAGCAGGTAATGGTTACTCGACCATCGTCCGAGCTTTGGGGATTTGAATGGGATTGGATTCAGAGACTTGCTTGCTATGATGAGCGACCACGAACGTGTGGTCACTTTTTTATTTTTTAAGTTGTTTATATCTAATGTTTCAGCACCAAAAGCATCAAGCAGGTTTTGGCGAAGGTTTCAACCATCTGTTTCATAGACGAGGTTGTCTTGAAGGTTTTTCATTACAGAAATGTAGTTTATTTACAGTGTTTTATGATTCCACTTTGGCTGATTGGTTCGAAATGGCTGGCAGACATCTAATATTTTAAATATGCATAGATCACGCACAGAATTGAGGAACATTGTCTTCTCTTAGTACAGGCTATAATTCACATATTTTTCCTATGTGACGTTTGACATGCATTTAGTCTTGTAAGTAATGTTAAAATGCAATCTCCTTTTAACACCCAGGTTTTTTTTTTTTTTGGACAAAAACAAAGTCAATCAGCGCTTAACTAGTGCAAGCCATCGTGATTCAGAGCCCATGTTACACTGATCAATCGTATCAAAGCTTTCACAAGGAATTCTGTTTTCTGCTGGTTGGAAAAAAGGAACTGAGAAGCCAAATGGCCAATTTTAAAAGAATAAATATATTCTGAATCAGTAAGAGTCACTGGAGCCGTTGAAAGCATGTTTTATCAAAACAACAACAACAATAATTGCTGCTACTTTACTCTCACTTAATCCATTCAAGATGTAAGTGACTTTGTCTTTCAGAAGAACGCTAAAGATGAATTAATTTAGAAAGGATGGTGCTTGGTGATGAATAAAATGCAAGTCAGCTGCTACTGATTCACTTCGAGAGTCATTAAAACATATATAGGCAAAACAAAATGAATGTCCTTGATGATATGAAGCAAAATGGTGCATGAAAGTTTATATTATTTATGACATTATTACCTTTAATCCAAAGCTTTAGAAAATGGTCCTGAGCACATTCAGACTAAGCTTTCTGTTGCCTAATGAGGTAGATTAAATGTTGGGAATCTGTGAAAAGTCGATCTTCTTGACTGCAATCACACAAACGAACATAATCTTGCTTTGTTATATAGACTTAAGGATCCAGGATAAGCACAAGTGCTATTAAGATTAACAATATAGCTGTATGCTTCTTTTTTTGAACTTTTGAAGTGCCATTAGCATTGACTTGTTTTTTTTAAAAATATAAATACAAAAGTTTCAGCAAAAGAATTCAGTGTTTTACTTATGGAAAAACAGTCATCTACATCTTGAATGGCCTTGGTAAACTTAGTAGTTTTCAGTTTTGGGTAGAATATTCCTGTAGCATGAATCAGTGTGCTGCTTGACTCACAGCGACTACTGAGATGCATAGATAGCTAGATAGCCTTGCGTGAAGCATTCTGAAGACATAATGCAGACCATAATTATTCCTTTAACATTACATTATAATGTTTGGTTACTTCCGTCTGTAAGCTAACATGCTGTACTTTGTTTTTTTTTTTATTCACTTCTAATTAATGGAGGCCTGGTTTAATAATGTTTGAATATGCATTCATCAAAACTCAGATCGTTATTAACCGTGCCACTTATGCCCCACAATGTAACTCAAGTGAAAATTAGTGGATGATATTGTCATAAAAAATAACATGGGTATTTAATGTTGTATTTCATCACCTTGTTGTATTTTTTGTTTCAAAATGTTATAATTAGTTCTATATACACCTATTCAATGAGGTGAGTTTAGTCATTTTTATTACTATTTTTTTTATTTACTCTTGCTAATTAATTTAATTGACATCTTTAATATTTCTTAGTTGATTTGCAATTATATAGCATAATATGTGTTAACTATTTTGTTTGTACCTCACTTTAACTGTATAATGTGATTCACAAAGTCTGAATGCACTCAGAACAAAACCTGTCCCATTCTCCTCAAGATATTGATCTTAAACTGAACTGTATCACAGGATTAGCTCTGAAATAAGGGACTAGGCAAATGAGAGCAATTTGTAACGTCTTACTCTGTAACAATGCAAATATCCAGTGTGAGCATGCACAATTCAGGTTTTACTGATCTTAAAAACCACTTAAGAGACGACAAGGGTTGTTGTGAATCAATGCATCATGCAAACTAACATTGTAAAAGAAATGACCTGCAAGCATAATTTCTGCGATTGACTAATACAGTTTGTTTGCCCTGACTGTGCAGATTGAGAATATGTTTGCTGACATGTGTGTTTGTGTGTGTGTGTGTGAGTATGTTTGAGAATATGTTTGATGAAGTCATATGGCCGTTTGTATGTTTTTTTTTTCTTCCTACCGTTCTTGTCTGGCTGTCAGCTAGTTAAATTGCTAATGCAGATTGTTTTCCTCAAGCTCGTTTTTTATGAGAAGTTCTAACCTTTCACAAGGGCTTGACAGTTCAAGTGTATAACTGCAGGTGTCTTTTGCCTTCTGTCCGTTCAGATTTCAGGACTATCCCGGGCGCACTGAACAGCCAAACCCTGACAGTTAATATGCTGAATCTTGGTTAATAACAGTCCACTGAAATACATAACCTCCCTGATCTTTCAGTTGAACTGATATTGGAAATGTGATGAGGCATATTTGATTTCTGATCGTCAATAACGAGCGTTAACTCATGCTGCTGTAAGCTTTATTTTCTCCAAACTGAAATGATGGAATGGTCTCCTAGCAGAATGCTGCTACATGAGGCAGAGTGTAATGCAAAGTTGATTGTAGATCTAATTTATTTTTCACCCTCAGCCCAGTGGACCTCATTACTCTGATTAACGTCTGTCTTCAGTAGAGAGAGTCACATCACAGAGGGTGACAACATAGAAATGCAACCTTATGTTTTAACGCCTTACGTCTTGGATGTAAACTGCTTTATATGTGTAAATTAAAAGTAGACTAAATTTATTGTTCTGTGAGAGTATATATTTATCTGATAAAAAATGCTGAAAACTTAGATGACTCGAAGCCTATTCTTTATACAGAAATACATTTACCTAAAACAGGGATCCTCCGTATTGTTTCTGTCTTTTTATTATTATTCTGCTGTTTTTTAATAGATCAGGGTTGGTTGACCCTGGAAATAAATACTGAATCTGAGCTCACAACGTTGGTGTCAGTAATTTGTCTATTAGCATGAGTTATGAAAGCATCTCTCGGCATCCTATTTTAAGGAAATATGAGCTTCCGACGGAAGCAGTGTTGTGTTTGTTTACTCAATCAAACCCACCCTCCCTGAGCAATATGCAAATAACCAGCCGCCTACGTCATTGGACATCAGTTTGTGCCTCAGAAATGAACCTTTCGTCTTACCTTTCGAAGATATCTGCTCTTTAGGGCGGTTTTACTTTTACACTCGTTGGTTCTAATTTGTCATTGTTAATCAAACAGGTAAACGACAGGAAAAGCCACTTCTCATTTATAAATGTGTGTGAACGTGAAAGTGTGTCCCCTCTGAAAGAATGAATGGTTCAGTCCAGCCTCCGGCTGTATGCGGAACTCACGCTCGGTACAGTAGTTGATGGGGAAATTCGATTCTTTTTCAGGGAATCGGTTCTCTTGAACAGTTCGTTTCAATGAATTGGGTAGCTTTTTATTTTTTGTCTGAATTCATGTAATTTATTCCGACAATGCAATCAGACAATAGTGTTTTTTATTATAGAACAAAGGATCCGACACTTTAAAGTCAAACTATTTTAGGATGTTTGCTTATTTTATTGTAAAGTACGTGCACCATATAGAACAGAACTTACAATAAGGGAAATAATAAATCTGCTGGGAAAAATGAAAATAATTTCTTTACATCATCATGCTGTCTATGACAATCTGGCTTTTTCTTGTATTTTTTTTCAGTAAAACATGACTTGGGAACTGCATTTTGATTTGTACTATATTTGGACTATATGTGAATGGTTTACGTCATAATTACATTACAATGCATTGTGTTCTTGTGAAAATACCATATCCCAGCAAAAAACAAGTTATGTTCATTTAACTTTGCTTCCATTCATTCATTCATACTAATTTGGGATCGCCACCGTGGAATGAACTCCCAACTTATCCAGCACATGTTTTACACACCAGATGCTCTTCCAGCTGCAACCCATCACCAGGAAACATCCATACACACTCATTCACACTCATACACTACGGACAATTTAGCTTACCCAATTCACCTGTACATCTTTGCACTTGTGGGGAAAACCAGAGCACCCGGAGGGAACGTGAACAGGGAGAACATGCAAACTCCACACAGAAATGCAAACTGACCCAGCCGGGGCTCGAACCAGCTGTGAGGCGATCATGCTACCCACTGCACCACCGAATCCCTGCCTTTGTTTAGTTCCCACTTATTTATTTTTGGGATCTGAAACATCCTGACCTTGTGGGAACAAGCAAAGATAACATTTCAGGAACAATACTGGACTCAATATATATATATATATATATATATATATATATATATATATATATATATATATATATATATATATATATATTTTTTTTTTTTTTTTGCTTGTTTAAACTACTCATTAAAATTTGCTGTATCAACACAGTTCTTGAGATTTTATTGGGACAACTTAATTGTTTTTGTGTTTAATCCATATAAATTTGTTAAAAGTTTGACGTTAACTTGATCAATTTGTATTGGGACAATATGAATGGATTGTCTGGAACCCTGCATTTTTACAGTGTGCGTCTTCAAACCTATAAGAAACGAACGTTAACAATTTTTTTTCTGTAAACCAAGCTGGCTTGTGCAAACATTAGATGTTATAGCACATTTTTTTGCATCAGCCTGCATGTGCATTTCCATACAAAAAAGACATTTCAAATTTTGACTTTACTTGGTGTTAATTACTTAAGAATCATATTTAATTTTGCTGTAGTAGGTTACACAAAGTAAAACACATTGCTCTTTTTATCATGGTCATTCAGGTAATGTAAGTTAAGTTAATTGTCCAAAATGCCCCATAGTATGCAGATAGTTGACCCAAAAATGTAAATTCTCCCATCATTTACTTACGTTACCCTAGACTTCTCCTAGAGTTTTTTTTTTCAATTATTCTGTTGAACAAAAAATGCATTGACACCCATACTAAAAAACAAATATTATGGAAGCCAAATGTTAAATGCTTTCCAACATATTTCAAAATATCTTCTTTTGCGCTGAATAGAACAGAATAGTATAGATGGCTGTTTTTTTTTTTTTTTTAATTTTGGCTGAAATTCAGTTCAAGCATCGTTTCCCTGTTCATTAGGAGTTAGACTGATTCAAACAAATCGTAAACAATTGAAGAACCGGTTCAACTGATTCAATGAAAAGAACCGACTCAAGCGAACGATTCCATCACGTCGCTATCGTACAGTCAGTGTGCAGGCAGAGAGAAACAGGAGGAGGACGAGCAGCGTTTATCTACAGGCACAATCACCACCGCATCACTGACTGGGCTGCTGCTGTTGCTGCTGCAAGACACGGTCGTGCGGTCTTTGCGTCGCGTTGCGCCACTGTCACATCATGAGCTCGTCATCGTTGCAAGCGAGCAACGCGCTCTGAGACGCTGTTTCGCCGCAGCAGGGCCACAGAAACACGGCTAAAGCGAGTAGCGGCGGCGTTAGCTTCTGGAGGTCAGTATCTGTTTTACTCCTCTTGCCTAACCTTATGTTAACTCGTATGTGGTGCTCTTGTTATGGTTAGCTCTGGAGCAGCGGTAAAGTTAGTGATGAAATGGATGAAGGTGTTTTCGTTGTAACGGTGTGAAAATGTACGCAGCTGCTTGTATAAGCAGCTTTGACAGCTAGCTATTTGATCCTGTTAGCCACTGCTAGCTGCTGGTCTTTATCTTTCTCATTGTAAATGTGTGTTTCACTGGATCTCTGCTTATAATATATGATCAAAGACTGTCAAATGTCAGGAGTGCCTGATAACAGGGCTGTCGATAGGCAGGGCTCTCATCATTAATTGATGCCCTCGGAGTCAGTGCATCTGATGAGGCTGAATGACACAACAGAAGGCTATAAATTACACACAAAAAAGACCTGCACCCCTATTCGTCTAAGATCCCGAGCAGATGTCCCTGTGTGTGTGTTTGCTCTCCAGAGGTCATAAGGACACGGGTTTTCTTTCCTGAGGGGGTTTGGATGTAGTGCTGTATTCAAGTCATCATGTTGTCGTGATGACGATGGTGGTGATGATGATGATGATGATGATGATGTGATACACGTAAAGCACGGCTCCACGGTACAGTTTGACCTCCCTGAATTTGTTTGAACAGCTTTTCTCTGTTGGGACACTGGAATAGCTGCGACATCAGGCCGTGTGTAAGATGACTTCAGTGGTGTTGTTTCTCTCCTGGGTGAAATGTGAGACGGCTCTTAGCTTTTGTCAGTTCAGTTTTTGTGTTCTGTCACTTGTTTGCAAAATATTCTCCTTGTTCAGTCGTTCATGGATGAATTCATTGGGTTGAGCTTATAGTATTATATTTGTGTGAACAATCTTTCTTTGTGTATTTGAGTATCATTTATGTTTCTTGATATTGTTCATCACTGTATAGTTAAAGGCAAAGGTTTTGTTAAACGCAGAGTAATGTGTTTAAAATACAGTTTAGGATATGGACATGGTGGGGTATGAAAAATAAATGCAAATCTAGCCCAGATTAATGGCTTTTCATTTTTCAAAGGGATTAGTTCACCCAAAAATTACCATTTACTCACCCTGAAGTGGCTGTTTACCTTCATGAGTTTCTTCCTTCTGTTGAACACAAAGGAAGATGTTTTAAAGAAAACAAACCTGGAACCATTGACTTGATAAAATGTCTTGCTTTATGTTCAGCAGAAGACAGATTTTGTTTCTAAACAAAATTTGTTTTTTCTAAAAAAACGATCCACATCCACACTGGCATTTCACCTAGGAATTCTGAACAGATCTCTGTCTACACTAGAGACCTTTTTCTTAGAATGCAAAATTACCCATTATGCTTTGCGTGTACAAGGAGAATGCTAAAAGCTTTCGGTTGGCAGCTGATGCATATAAAGAGACACAATCGGGCTGCTTTAAAACAATAGTTTTGAACTAAAGTTGCTTTTAACGTCTTTGAACTAAACTGCTGTCGATCAGCACCACCTCCTGTACTGATTATTATAAAAATGCAACTTAATGGGATGGAAAACAACTGCTGCAAGGTATTTTTCTCTCGTTGTGCGACGGCATCTTGTGCAGTTTAAATGAAGCCTCGTCATCTATAAAGTGAACATTTTCTCTTTCTTTCAAACAAATAACCAACTCAAACAAATGTAATTTACCAAAATGTTTGACACACACACACATAGCCTACTGTACTGTCCCACTAACACATTGAAAGAATGACGCAAAGGGAAGATAAAGTGATGTTTTGAAATGACAGAAAAACGCATACCGTGGTAAATACTACACAACACAAACTAACTAAATGAAACATAAATGGCTCCTGATTAGAATCACTATACAAATCAGCCAGAATAGTACGTATTTTTATTGGTAATTTTTGGCCTTCATAACTGCTATTTTTATGCCAGTAATGTGGTTTGCTCTTTATAATGCAGTGAGGTATTGATTGTGAGTGTGTGCAATGAAGAGCTTCAGAGTACATTATAACAGCTGACAGGTCGGGAACACTGACGCTATATTTCAGCTTCTGATCTAACGGCAGACACTAAATTAGGAGAACGTTTTTCTCTCGCCCTTGAACTGCATCTAACAGAAGTATAGCAACTTTAACTCACGTCTTTCTTTCTAAATTAAAATTTTGCATCAAAACACTCCGTAAGCCACTCAAAAGATTATTGATACCCAGTTGAGAAACGCTGCTCTCGCTGATGACAATTCTTAATGGAAGTTTTAAGCACCCTACCTGAAGGTGCTGGTCACTGTGGTGCCCTCCATGCAGTAACGTAGAAAAAGGTCTATACCGGTGAAAATGCACATCACGTGACCACACACACACATTCTGGCTTGTGCTGCAGCGAATGCACATGTCTGAGCTCCAGGCAGTCAGCGGGTGCTTTGAGCACACCTTCCCAGGTGAGATCAGCGCACATCGGTCAGTTCATCAAGGATTAGGGATGTCCCAATCTGATATTGATATCGGAAATAGGTCCGATATCAGTCCAAAAAACTATATCGAACTGCGTTAAAAATCTCCTATATAAGGAGTCCGATTCGCTCTAAAATCCGTTACAGCTAATCTATCCAGCAGGCGTCCAGAGCCAGCGTGCAAAGCCCACGTGATCACAACACCGCTTGCTAGAAAAGTCCCTTTAAGATTTAACATGCTCTTCACACTAAGTTATGGTGTAATAAGTTGGACATCTATTGTGACGGTAGCACATGCTGACGCGATCAACAACGGCATATCTCTACAGGTTTATTTACTTCACGTCAAGCGATCTTTAAGATACATTGTTTTGTATACGCTGCTAAGCAACACAAGGCACCGAATGGCGACGTATTACACATCGTTTTAAATGAGGCTCGCATGTTTACAATACAATTCGATCATGGCATATCGTGGTTCATCCAGTGTGATACCCAATTTAACACCAGCGCTGGGTGGAATCTCTGCAATAATATGCAAATAAAATTAATTTCGATAAATAAAATTATTCTCAAAAATCACATTATTTTATGTGCTGTGCAGAAAAGATGTGTTTCAATCCAGCTGCAAGTGTATTTATGTTAAAGATAATATGTGCAATATATATTATTATAAAATTAATAATGTTTTGTTTGGGAACATTGATACAGCCATAATCTTCTTATGATACAAATAGAGATTAAATAGCTCTGGTCATGTGAATGTTTGCATTAATACTTATAACAAAAATACTTATAACAATAACTACTTATTTCTGCTGCCCAGTTTGAAAGATATTTTTCAGCTTGAAACTAGATCAAATATTCATAAAAAAGCTGTGAGTGAAATTGAAACTTTGGACACTCAACCTTTAGCAGATGTTCAGTTAACAATATTTTTTTTTCTTATGTTCCTGCTCTCAGCTGTTTCTACCGTTTGCTGATGGTAAAAAATTAACAACTGAAGTGACCTTTAAAATAGTATTTTGCACTTTAAAAATATATATTTTGTTTATTCAATTAAGATATTTCAGGGTGTTAATATTTATTCTTTAATTCTTTTTTTATAAGTTCTTATGTAAAAGGTTCACATTAATGCAACCAATAGTTAATAAATTGGTTGTTTTTGTCCATACTTACTGTTGCTGACTTTTGTTCTCAGTTTAATCCAGCCGTTTATGCATTCCACTCAACTAAATAGGTAAAAGTAGTATATTCATGATTTGTGCTGATATCGGATTTGTATCGGTATCGGTTCGTACTGAAGGCTGCAATATCGGTATCCTGTCGGAAGGTAAAATGTTGTATCGGGACATCCCTATCAAGGATCTTCCACTGGATTTCATCTCACTGTAGTGGTTAAATGTGATATTTAATTAACCAAAGACAAGTTAATATATTAATTTATGTAACCACGTACACTGATTCTGCACATTTGACTAATTTGTATTTGTATATAGTATAAACTTACTGTACATTATACTTTTATAATGGCCATTATAAATTATTAAAAGCAATGTTCAGCAAACAAGACCGGGTGTGTTTCAAATTTTTTTATGAAAATCAAAAGAGGTAGTAGTGTTATAGGCTTCATTTTGTTATAAATATGCATACAGTGAAGATGAGTGTCATAAAAAATATGATGTCTTAACATTTTTAGTGTCTCTTAAGTTAATACCAAAATGAAAATGGGCAGTTCTTCATATCATGTCTTCATTTTATTGTTAAGATATTGAAAAAATGTTGCCAGTGTGATGTGAATGAGGTTATAATGTAGCCCACACTGTTCCATTCAAAGATTTACCTGACATGTCCTCAGTAGTTTGTTTTCCATATCAAACTTGCAAAATCTGAACTTAAGGAAAGGGTGCAAGGCTGAACTTTGTGCACTAAATATCAAGGAAAAAGCCCCAATCAGAATGTCTGCAGCCTCACCTCCATTTTCAGATGTCTCCGTTTTTCCCCATTCACACTGACACGGAGCAGCAGCATGGCCACTTCAGCATTTCCAAAAAGCTTCAACACTTAAAAACCCTGTGGAAGTGTTGACTGAGGGCTAAACCGTAGCAAAACCTATGCATTTTAAAACTAAAATGTATTCTTGTAAACAGGACATAAATGTCATTATAAGTAGCAGTACCAGAAGAAGTAACTGCTAAAAAATACATTTATTACCATGGCTGTATTTGAGGTCTGGTAGTTGTGCAAATATTAAATTACAACAAGCAGCTCATCCTACAGCTCACAGTGCTTCTCCCAGTGGTGTCGTGTGAAATGCATGAAAAGCGTGGAGTGGCCAGACTGAAGTGTCTCTGCTTTGATCTGATTTGGTCACCGGGGAACGTTGGGTCCTCAATTGATTCTCAGTTAAATAGAAATGGCCTCTCCACACTTAATCCTGATTGATGTTTAAGTCCAATCTAAAACCATTCATCTGTCACCGGGTTTGTTTTCCCTTCCTTACAGAGTTCGTTTAAAGGAACTTGATGCAAGTCACTGGAGGAGAAACTCATTTTGA